GGTATTGTCCTTGGACGACAACCGACACCAAATCCACTGTCACTGCATCGCCGCTCACCTGCTTTGTCGTGCTTACCTCTTGTTGAGGTGATGGACATGAGGAGCTTTGGGGTAATCAGGGATTCAGAATCTTCGATTCAGCACCTTCGGCATCAGGGACAAAGGTCGCCGAAGATAATCCTTAATCTCCCGTGGTCGCTCCTCGAGACGTAATTCAGGGTCGTTTGGCACGAACCCTCGCCGACCAATTCGTTGGTACGGGCTGCTTTGGTAGACATGGTCGGCTTCATGCAGTGGTAGCAAAGTGGTTTTCGGTCGCACATTCGCATCACCTACGTTTTCCTCGGTGTACTTTGTTGAGCACAGTCCTACACACGATGTCGGGAATGCTTCGGCGTTAGAGTGTCTCATTGAATTGGCATTGAATACTAAGGGGCAGCCGGTGGCGATCGTCGTGCCATTGTGGTGTAAGTTGCCCCTGGTTTGTCAGATGCCGCTTCGCTCGCAGAAGTCTCGGTTGAAATACCTGTCAAACTTGTTCCGAAACAATCTCGGCAATCAAAATAAAAGCCGGGCAACTGATGGCAGGAAGTAGCTTCCTGATCTCCTCCCAGACAACGTCGTGGGTGATGTCGTGGATGCCTGGGAGGCTGGCGTCGAAGTAGTAGCTGGATAACTCGAGTGTCGAGACGCCGGGAAGTTGTTCATAGTGGCAGGCTCGGGCATGCAGTGCACATTCTATGTTGGAAGCCTCAGTGATATGAACACTTAGACTGTTGTTGGGGGGTTGCGGACAAGGCTGCCGAAGGCGTTGTTCCTCACGTGAGGCGCATGGGATTCTTAGGTTCTTGTCTTCTGTAGCATCAAGGTCGGCGTGGGCGTGGGCGTGGGCGCTCGATCAAGCGCAAAACATCCTCCACGAGTGCGGTGGCGCTCTTATTGGGGCAGTGTCCTGGACAGAATCAAGAATGCGGCTCTCTTTCGTTGATGTTGGCTGACGGATGCGCGCTTCAGCTTGATCTTGCAAACTTCCCATGACGTTAAGGAGGATCCATGGTTCTCAGACCAGCGCCGGCAGTTGCTTCCACGAGAAGTATAGGTTCTGCAGGAGCTGGTTGTCTGTCCACCCAATGTGGCGGGCGAAACTGTCATATTGTTCAATCCAGTCCTTGACGTCTTCATACAGCATGCGTGAAAAAGCGTCGGAGTGTGATTTGCGACGGGCATGCAAACAATGGTGGGAGGGGACACGGTTTGCTGCTACAGGTTTGTCATTGTTGGCTGAGTCAGCTTCGGATTTTCTGACAGGAGACCGAATTCCGGTGGTTTTTCCTGGTAGCTGCAACTGGCTCGGATTTCAGGTGCTTCGTGGTGTATTTCCGAGGTTACTCCTTGTGGTACTCGGTCGTCTTGCGGTTGTTCTGCCAGGCTCGGGTCAGGACTTTGCCTACGGCTCGACAGGGGTATAAGACGCAGAATAGTCTGCCAGCCGTGTCCCATTATCGGGTAACTCGGCTGAAGAGCCGCCGGGTTCACACAGAGTGAAGGGCTACGGGTAAAGTGCCCAGCACCTCCACCTGAACACACGATTACAGCTGAGCATGACCTGCAGTGTCCCAGAATAGTGAATATTGATAGAAGATAGGACTGGAACAAGGATCCGTGACAGTATAACAAAACTAGCAGAAGAGAATCTATCCTGACCACTGAAGAAGCTGCATTGCGCTTTAGTGGCATTCTGTCCGAATAAATCCTCTCCTTCGGGGTTTGGCGACTGCCGTGGACGAACTGAACTGAAATGGATGTAAGCGGCGTGAGCTGGGTACGTAACACGCTCGGTGAAATGTCCGGACAGCTTGCAATTCGCGTAACGAGTGTGGATGAAACGTTTGTCTTGACGAAACGTGCGACAGACCAGCGGGATCAATGCCAACTGCAACACCTGTGCTCCGTGAAAGTGCACGTCTACGCCGGAACAATTTCGGAAGCAGCACAGCATCACCTAAAGCATGGCACAGGAACTACCAGCTTGAAGGCAGCTCTTCGGTGCGCCGCACACCTGTGCTCCGTGAAGGTGCACTTCTACGCCGGAACAATTTGTAAGCAGCACAGCATCATTCAGCACGGCACGGGAACTACCAGCTTCGAGGCAGCCTTCCGGTGCGCCGCACAACCGAAGTGAGCCCTCGGTCATTTGATCGAAGCTGCACCACGATTGCACACCGCCAAGCACGACTCACGCAATTTCCGTCGCTAAACTGTGTATCCAAATATATTGCACACGCTTCACTGCAAACCTCGAAGATTCCGATGGTCAACGAGAGCACAGAAACGTCGCCTTAAATTTTATCCTAGCGGTATCGGAATCAATCCGAGGTCCGAGCAACGTAGGTCAGATTGTCTCTTCCGTGGCAATATCCCGGTCGGTCACCAGCGAAATGCACACCGTTTCTCCGTATTTTCACGTTATACCTACGTCAAACACCACGCTGAACTCTGAACTCGCTTTCGACCGGCCTCATACGACGGCTTCCGCGTCTGAAATCAACTCGCCGAGACGAACGACAACCAACAAAGCATCCGACAAGCTCCGGCCCAGCTGGGGCCAGCCGCTGCATGGGCGCTGCCATCTTTCCTGTGACGTCACGTATTTGGTTTGGTCATGTGACGTGTGGTCAAATTTGCGTACAATGGCAGCCTCCTTATGGGGGTCACTTTCGAGTGCAGACCGGAACCCCGGTTTATCGCTCTAAGCCCCTCTACCTCGTTGTTCTGTCTCTGTCCTGGCTAGACTTAGCTTGCTTGAGTCTCTCGGATGGGTGGATAATTGCCTTGTTGAAGGCAGTAGCTTGCGCCACCTAGATTGAATGTTGCCAATGGAACCGAATTTCGAAATACTGCGCAAATACAAAACTAATAATAATTGTAGTGCGTCCTCGTTTTATTAAAGAATTGTTTGATGAAAACTATATTGAAAAGATGTCCTCAACTTACGCAACTACATGTAATAATTTGTATGTGAAATTTAGTTGAGCTGTGACCGTGAACTGTGTATATTACCGCAATTTTATTCATTTTTGTTTAAACGCGATCAAATTGAGGACGTATATATTACGTCTAACTTTGTACCCTTCGTCCTCAATAAGTCCTCGGAATGACGTTTCTAGGATGATCCAGCGACTGACGTTCTCAGCATATACTGAGGACGTCTTGAAAGCCGTGAGGGCGTTTGTACCTTTCGAGGACGTCCTGAGGACGTCGGGTGTTGTCTGGGCCGCGACACTCTGCTGTTATCTTCTGTTTCCTTTCTATTTTTGCGCACAAGTTCGCCTTCATTAAACAGTTCAGTTTCGCCGGTTATTCTTTGTTTCTTCGTTTCTTCCTCCGTGACATTTTGGTGGAGGTGCGGAGTACCGCATGTCCGTGCAGCGTTCCCCTCCAAGGGCCTGCCGTGCAAGTCCGATTCCCGGCTCGGTGAGAAGACCACTCAACGCGGAACCTGAAACTCGGACCAGCCGCCGCATCAAGAAAAAGGATCCGGAGTACGGTTTGCTGCTGTGTTGTGGTAGGGGTCGCTACCATTATGTTGTATATATATGAGAGAGAAAATAGGCAGACCAAGTTACTTGTTTCATTCCACCCGGACCAGGCGCGTGTGTGGGTTCGTTCCTCTCTGGCCTCGACGGTCGCCGGTCTCTAAATGATGTCAGAAGTGAGCGGCAAGCGCCTTTTCTCTTTGCAAGCGCGAGCACCAGCCTCGGAGAAGACCGGCGTGGCCGAAGTCACAGGTCTTTCTGGAGCGGGACAGCGCGGCGAAGCGACGCCAAGCTTCCGACTTCGACCGTCGTCATGGAGTGCGCGAGCTCAGGGAACTTTCACCTGGCGAAGATGTGTGGGTGACAGACGCACAGTGCCCTGCTCAAGTGCTTAGCCGAGCGCAACGCCCACGCTCTTATGTCGTCGAAACTACGCGGGGTGTATTGCAGAGAAATCGGCGACACCTGGTTCCTTTCGGGAGCCAACCTACGGAGCCTGTTCCCGGCCTGCCAGCTCCCGTTCTGCCGGTTCCTGCCGCCGATGAAGCCAAGGGCCTGCAACCCCGAGATTCTGAACAACGAAGATTGGTTACAGCTCCCTCTCCGCTGCCTTCTGCCGGGGAAGCTCGCGCAGAGCCAAGGGCAAGTTCATGAGCTGATGCGAGTCAGGCACCAGCGAATGTGTGGATCTAGTGCCACTAAATAAGTTACGCTTCAGAGTAACGACACTTGGCCATATTGCGGCTTAAAATCATGGTTGCCAGTTATCTGAAGCTCCATCTGAAGTCCCAGGAAACGCTTTTCCGCGCTCCACAAATGTTTAAACAGTTCGCGACAGAGCAAAGCAATAATACATGACCTTCCTAACACCGAGTCTAATGCTGATTAAGTCACACTTTTGTATCATGACGATCGGCAGTTGCGTCTGCTCTGCATACGAGCCAAAATGGCGGCGCCCGCAACAATGTCGGGGTACGGAGTGCGGATACTCTAAGCGCAGCTCATTTAGTGGCTCTATGTGGATCCACACTCCTCCACGCACGAGATCTGGCCGTCGAGTAGTAGCTCCAAAGAGACTGAACTTGTAGTGAGGTAGTATGCCCTGATGTATTCATCCACGAGTGCTGTTTCTGAGAAAGGGGGGTGTTGTGGTAGGGGTCGCTAACATTAGGTTGTATATATATGAGAGAAAAAAGAGGCAGACGAATTCTTGACTTAAACAGCGCAAAAAAGTTACGTAATTTTGCGCTGTTTATGTCAAGGTGTCTATCCTACTCGCCCAGCAACTCATTTTGGTTCAAGTTGAGGCAGACGAAGTTACTTGTTTCGTTCCACCCGGACCAGGCGCGTGTGTGTGTTCGTTCCTCTCTGGCCTCGACGTCGCCGGTCCCAAGCCGAAGAACACGACGATCGCCAAACAGTCGCAGATCCCCGCCGTTCCTGCCGTCGTATCGAGGCCTCCACTTTTTGGTTTGGCGCCTGTACCAACCGTTCTTCAGCCTTGAGATGCTTGTCCTTGAGGAGGCGAAAGCGCTCTTGTAACTGCTGGTTTGCTTGCCACAGCTCTTGCAGCTCCTGCATAGTCTTTTGTCCCACTGCGCCCTGCTGCTCCTCGAAGACTGCGAGAGCTCGTCTGGCTGTTGCCCACTCTTCTGTGAGCTGAGCACAGCTGTCTTCCAAACTACGTTTCTCTTGGGCTGCCGCGTGAAACTCTTCCTGCAGGTTCCTGTGTCTGTATACAATGTGGTTATACTTGTCCAACAGCTGGGAGTGGTCTGTCTTCAGCGCTAATAGTGCTGCCTCCCACTTGGCCGCTTCGTGCAGCACAGTGCAGTGCTCGTTCTCCATCTCCTTGGTGGCCTTGACCTGCTGCTCGCGCTGAGTCTTCAGCTCCTCCTCGATGCAATGTCGTGCCTGTTTTAAGTTCTCAGCTAGCTGTTGAAAATGTTTGTTGTCGCTGACGAGCATCTCAGCTTGCTCCTCCAGGCAGGAAAGTTCTGACCACAAAATGTCGGCTTCGCTTTCTAGCTTTCCGTTGTGTTTTAGGAGGCTGCTGACTTTCTCGTCTAACCTATCGCACTCTGTCTCTGCCTTCTCGGTAAAGGAGGTTCCGTCTGCTTCCGTTTGCGACAAATTGTTACACTTAACAGCATTCTCTCTCTCTCTCAAAGTCTCCGCCATCTTTTCGTGTCTCTGCTGCCAGAGGCGACTTTTATCAGAGACGCATCTAATTTGTTCACTCGCATCTTCACAAGATGATTTCCACTGCTGACTTTCTTGAGCGAGGAGCTCGTTCCTAACTTTCAAGGATGTGACCAGTTTCTGAAGCACTGCCAGCCGACAGTTGAAGTCTTCCAGCTGACTTGCTTCAAGAGACACTGCAGCTTCTGACGACTGGTTGGTGTGCTTGATGATGCTCCGGACAAATGCCCCGATGATGCTCCGGAAAAATGCCCCGAGATCTTGTAACGGCCACTGGTACCGGTCCTTTAAGTACTGATAATTTTGCTGAAGTAGATTGAACTGCTCCTCTTTTTTTAGCAAGCTGGTTCTCCAGGGCCTCTCTTTTGCGTTTTGCGATGTCCAGCAGCTTCTTGAGGTACTGAAAGGCACTGAACTCTCGTTGTTCGGAATCATTCACAACTAGCGGCAAGTACTCGCCACAGTCTTGAAGAAGGACATCTTGCAAGATGCAGTACTCGGTAGAAAACCTTTCGAGTTCAAGCTGAGATGCTTCAAATTTCTTTTCCAGGGTGTCCGCTTCCTCCACCTTGGGATCTACAAGCTGCAGCTGCTTTGCCAGATCCCCACTTAGAGAAACTAACTGGGCTTTCAATGCTTCAGACTCCTGATGCTTGACATGAGAAAATTCTGCTTGCCGTGCTTGCATCTTCCCCAGGAGAGCCGAAGCTGCCTTGCACTCGCTTTGAAGGGCCTGCTCACGGCCAAAGCTCGCTTCGATATTTCTCTCGTGCTCCAAAGACATTCGCTGCATTTCTGCCTTTGCCAACATCAACTCTGAAATCAGGCATTGTCTCTTTTCGGGGCGAGATGCCAGCATGCCCCTTTTTTTCTTTGACCGCCTCTCCAGCTCTGTCGCAGTTTGCGCAAGCTTGGGTGATTTGGTTGATGGAAGAGGCCCAATCGTTATGCCTCCCAAATGGATCGTTTCATTGGGGTCATTGTTCATGAATGAGTTGGAAGTTTCTTCTACTGCAGAAACACGTCGATATCCGTAGGTTTTCTGCTGTGTCTGGTTGCACATTCGGGAAAAATGTCCGAACATTCCACAGGAAATGCAGTGCTTTCCGTAAGCTGGGCAGTTTCGGGGTTGATGGGAAGTACCACATCTCGAACATGAACATTGCTGTCGGTTGCTGAATTGGTCTCTTTGTGGCTCGGATGGTTGATACCTTCGTTGCGCTGCTCTGAAGCTAGATGGCTGACGATAGAGTTCATCAACTCTAACTTTGTCTTCAGTTTTCTGAATATCATTCACGTGTTTTCTTGAGATATCCGCTGCTTTACAGGTTGAAATGATTTTGTCTAGTGTTAGACTTGGTTCACGAAACAATCGTTCGCGCAAAGCCCCGTCTCGTATCCCAATGATGATACAATCACCAATGAGCCTGTTTTCTTGAGCTCCGTAGTCGCATTTCTGAGCCTGCAGTTATAGCTCAGTTACAAATTCGTCGATGGTTTGTTCTGGCTTTTGGCTCATTGTGTTAAAAATGGCTGTCGCTTGTGTGACGCTTTTGTAAGGTGCATACAGTCTATCGAATTCGTGCAGTATGTAATCTACTGCATTTTCTCTTTGCCCGGTCTGACCATCTCCCGTTGGCTGCAGAGGAAAGGTTTGCGTAATTCGTCTTGCCTGAGGTCCAAGGCAGTGGAGCAGAAAAGCCTTCCGAGTTGCGATAGGCTTGGATTCATATTCACAGGCTGCCTCGAAGATAAGGTGCGATGATTTCCACTCCTCCCATACTCTTGCTGGGTCGTCACCAGGCTGGAACGGAGCCGGCGGTTGTAGGAAAGCAGATGCCATATTGTTTCTGCTGCTGCTTGTCCTGGTTCCACTTGTTCTCCTCGGCACGAGACTGTTTCAAAAGGGACCGAGGGCACTGGGGGTACAGCGAGAACTTTGGAGGCACCAGCAAGCCGAGTCGAGATTGAGGAACTCTCCCGGTAGTACGAGTCCCTTTTGAAACAGTCTCGTGCCGAGGAGAACAAGTGGAACCAGGACAAGCAGCAGCAGAAACACATTGAGGACTTACAGGCGCAACCGGTACCACACCAAAGAAGCACATGGAACAGCAGAAACAAATACAGCTGCTGAAAACTATTTCCCTACAGTCTCAAACGAAGCTGCTGAAGACTGTGTCCATACAGTTTCAAATGGCGAATCACTTGAACACATTTCCACGTCTACAAGGTCAACATGATAACCAAAAAACAAGAAGTCGACGCGTCGTGGTGAAGCCGCTTGATACAGAGACTGACAAGTGCCGTGATCGCACTGCGTTATCTTCAAAAAAAAAAGAAAAAAAGAAGGGGGCATGTTATGATGTCATGAGGCTGTCCGATCCTAGAAGAAGAGGACATCCAGTGAGCACGCTCGGAGGAGGTGGCACGCGCTGTTGCGTTTGGAACTGACGAGCAATCGCCATAGCCGCTGCTCTGATCACGTATGTTACATATTAAACAGTTTGCTTAAACCATCCTCCTGAGCTTAACTAGCAACATAACAGTCTACCTACTCGTCGCTCCTCGGACACCGTCTCCCTTCCATGGCTAAAGCCACGAAGATATACATCGACGACTGGGTCCAACAGCACGAACGAGTGGCCCGTCATAACAGGTGGACACCGGGACAGTGTCTGCAAAATGCTTACTTCGCCTTGGAAGCAACCGCCCGGAACTGGTTCGAGAACGACGAAGCATCGAACACCTCCTGGGAGCAACTCAAGGCTAAGTTGCGAAGAACATTTACGAACCAACAACGAAGAGAACGCACGGACGAGCTTCTTCAAGCGAGGATTCAAAGCCTTAACGAGAGCTCCGTTAGCTTCGTAGAATTTGTCCTACGACTCAGCAACCGCGCCGATCCTCAAGCATCCGAAGCAAAGACGCTCAGATTCTTGATGCGCGGTGTGAAGGAAGACATTTTCGGTGGTCTTGTGCGGAGCCCGCCTACCACCGTCGAAGGCTTCATGACGGAGGCCACCAACATCAAACGAGCCCTTCAAGCACGAGCCGCCTACTATCACAGAGTTCTCGGCGTCGCTGCCTTTGCGTCTTCCGGCTGCAACACCATGGACATCCACAAGATAATCCGGGACGTCGTCCGGGAGGAGATCAAGAAGCTTCTCCCTGCCGTCGCAAGCCCAGCGTCGCCTTCAATTGCTGAGATTGTCAGGGAAGAAGTCCAGCAAGCGCTGCAGCCTGAGGTTCTCGTCAGCACGGCTGAGGAACCACCAATGTTGAGTTACGCAGCAGTGGCCCGACGGCCACCTCCTCCTCCTCGCACCTGCGCCGCAGCTCGACCGACGCCACGACGACCAGGTCCAGTATGCGTGCCCGGAGCCTCGGGTGTAAGACCGACGTGTGGCGAACGCCCGACCGACGCCCTCTGTGCTTCCATTGCGTGGAAGCGGACCACACCTACCGCCGGTGCCCATACCAACGACTCGGGCTACGCGGGTTCCGCCCGAATGACCCACGCCTTCGTTACGGTGAACGCCACCGGGAGATCGACGAGTACCTGCGACGACTTAAGTCCCCTGAGACTGCGTCCCGCCGAGAGTTCCGGTCGCCGTCGCCACGACGTTCAGCTTCGCCTATACACCGACCCCGACGTGAAAGCCTGTCACCCCTTGCTCCTCGCTGGGGAAACTAAGCGCGGCAACCCCTGGAAGTGAAGTTGCCGAAGACGACCGACGACAAGATTATCCACGAACGTCTGAGGGTTCCCACTCGTACGCTACCAGAGACCGAAACGACGCCCCTGGAAAGGTGTCCAATAACCTAAACGTCGTCATCGACGGCCACGGCGCATCAGCACTCGTGGACACCAGAGTAGACAACTCAGTCTTGAGTGGGAGGCACTCCCGCCACCTTCGAAAGGTCACGACGCCGTGGGATGGACCTCAAATACGAACCGCCGAAGGGCGCTTTATCCCACCGTTCGGGAGATGCAATGCTCGCGCAGACATCCACAGTGAGACGTGCCCTGTCAAGTTTGTCGTTCTGCAAGACTGTTCGAGAGACGTTATCCTCGGAATGGACTTTATCTGCGAGTATGGAGCCGTCATCGACCTCCGAGCGAACCGGCTGACGCTACGAAAACCTGCTCCTCCGCAGGAGGAACCCAAATCGACGTCATCCGCGGTACGAATCATCGCAAACCACGTGAACCTAAAGCCGCGGTCAAGTGGTTTCGTAGCCATCGGGGTCGATGAGACTTTCTGCGGCGACGTTTTGCTCGAAGGAAGCCTCCAGTTGCTTCAAGGAAGAAGGATTGGCATCGCCAGAGGTGTCGGAGAGCTCCAAGACGGACACACTGTCACAGTCGTAACGAACTTCCGATAGGGGGCCCAACACCTTACGAAAGGCACCGCCGTGGGTCACACCGAGGAACTCCCGGACTCAGCCGGAATCGCCGGATTATCAGAAGACCTCTCTTCGTGGCCACCCAAGAAAACACCACCTTCACAGTTTGACATCGACCCAACCCTGCCTACCCCGCAACGACCACAACTCAGTGACCATCTCGACGAGTTCAAGGAGTGCTTCTCCACGTCGTCAAAGGTGCATCAAACGACCGTTGTGAAACACCGAATTGTCACTGAAAACAACGCGCTTCCTGTTCGTCGTTCGCCGTACCGTGTCTCTTTTAAAGAGAGAGAAGTCATCCAGAAGCAGGTCCAACAAAATGCTCAATGACGACATTGTCCAGCCCTCAAGCGGTCCGTGGGCTTCACCAGTAGTTCTGGTGAAAAATTTAAGACGGGAGCCTTGGGTTCTGCGTGGACTATCGCCGACTGAACGCCGTAACAATAGAATGACGTCTGCCCGCTGCCACGCATCGGCGACATCCTGGGCAGGCTGCGCCACGCCCGATACCTTTCGTCGATGGACCTGAAGAGTGGCTAGTGGCAGATCGAAGTCAACGAACGAGATCGTGAAAAGATTGCCTTCGTCACGCCGGACGGGCTCTACGAATTTAAAGTGATGCCGTTCAGACTTTGCATGGCACGAGCAACGTTCCAGCGCGTAATGGACACCGTTCTTTCCGGCTTGAAATGGAAAAGTTGTGTCGTCTCTCTCGACGACGTCGTGGTATTGGCCAGCTTACGGCGAGCTCAAATTCCTGGGTCGTGAGCGCTCAAGGTGTAAGTCCTAACCCTGCAAACACATCCACTGTCGCAAACTTTTCGACGCCATCGGACAAGAAAGTCGTACGAAGATTTTTTGGGCTGTGCGCATACTACAGACGTTTGTTTCGCGATTTTGCCAAGATTTCTTCACCGCTCACGCATCTGACGAAAGACAGTGTGAACTTGCAGTGGGGGAGGAGCAAGAACAAGCGTTCAACGAACTGAAGAACAGACTCCAGTGGCCTCCTATCCTTGGACACTTCGATCGATCAGCGGAAACGGAAGTTCACACAGACGCCAGCAACGACTAACTCGGCGCTGTGCTCGTCCTAAAACAAGACGGAGCAGAGAGGGTAATCGCTTACGCATGTCCAAGGCAGAGAAAAATTACTCAACTGCCGAAAAGGAATATCTCGCTGTTGTCTAGGCGTTAACCCAGTTCCGCCCGTACCTGTACGGGACCCCGTTCCGCGTTGTCACGGACCACCACGCTCTCTGTTGCCTGCCAACCTCAAGGACCCGTCGGGAAGCCTCGCTCGCTGGAGGCTTCGACTGCAAGAATTGGACGTGACAATTGCGCACAAGTCTGGCCGCAAGCACAATGATGCCGATTTTTTGTCTAGGGCCCGAGTCAAATCTCCTCCCGACAGCACCGACGACGACGATGACACCCGTTTCCTCGGAGCAATTACTGATACCGACATGAGAACATTTCAACGAGACGACCATGAACATCGCGCCGTGATCGACCACCTCGAAGGTCAAGGAAGTTTAGTTCTGCGAGTCTCGGCCCGAGAGTCGCCAAGCCTCGTTCTGCGGCGAGGCGTGCTCTTTAAAAAAAACTTCGGAACGAACAACCCTGCCTGGCTGCTGCTTGTTCCGGCCAGCCTGCGAGAAGAAGTCTCTCAAGCATAGCAAGACGACCCGACGGCTGGACACCTTGGCTACAGCAGGACGCTCGCCCGAATTCGTGACAAGTACTACTGGCCGAGACTCCCGAAAAAGTCAACCTGTACACACGGTCGTGCCATGAGTCCAACGACGTAAGAGGCCTCCAACGAAGCCAGCAGGACTCCTGCAGCGGATACCTGCACTGTCTACGCCCTTCCAGCAAGTCGGGATACATTTGCTTGGGCCGGTCCCAACATCGACGCAAGGAACTCGGTGGATTATTGTCGCGACCGATTATCTTACACGATACGCCGAGATGAAAGCCCTGCCATCGTGAACAGCGGTGGAAGTCGCCAAGTTTTTCGTCGAGTTCATTCTCCTTTGACACGGCTCACCCGAAGGGCTGATCACAGATCGCGGGTCATCCTTCATGGCGCAGCTGACTCAAGAAGTTCTTCGGCTCAGTCATACCAGCCATCGGCGAACAACCGCTTATCATCCGCAGACTAACGGGCTAACGGTGCGGCTCAACAAGACAATCGCCGACATAATCTCCATGTACATCGTCGTAGAGCACAAGACGTGGGATGATGTGTTGTCGTATATCACGTTTGCGCATAACACAGCGGTTCAAGAAACCACGGGAATGACACCGTTTCCACTGGCACACGGGCG